GCCCACACTGCTGTGGACGGGGAAGGTTGGCGATGCGTCGCGTTTCCGGGTCTGGGGTGCTCGTGCCTTTGTCCGCGATACCACTGCGGACAAGCTCTCCGCCCGCGCTGTTCCCTGTGTCTTCCTTGGCTTTGACCTTGACGCGCCTGGTTGGCAGTTTTACCACCCCACCTCGCGCCGTGTCTTCCCCTCTCAGGACGTCACGTTTGACGAGTCGGTTCCCTTTTACCGTCTCTTCCCCTACCGCACTGCCCCTCTCCCCCCCCCCGCCGCTCTTCCTCGCTCCAGGTACTACCCAGGTAGACCCCCTCCCCGCTCCCGGTCCTGCTCCTTCAGGTGTGTCTCAGGTAGACCCTCCTCCTCAGGTTGAGGTCACTGGTGACTCTGGTGCTGCTGAGGGTGGTGCTGCTGGGGGTGCTGAGCCTGGGGGTGCTGAGCCTGGGGGTGCGGAGCCTGGGGGTGCGGAGAATGGAGGTGCTGAGCCTGGGGGCGCTGAGGCGTCCGGTGAGCAGTCTCCCGGGAGCGGCCGTCTCCGTAGTCGCTCCGCTGGTGCCTCGCCGCTGCACTCTCGTCGTCGACTCCCTCTCTCCCCACAGCAGCTGTTTGAGTGGTACGCTGGCCGTCAGGGTCGCACTGCTGGAGCTAGGGGCCCTGCTGCGGGAGGCGCTGGAGCTGGTGACTTTGCCACTGGAGTTGTTTCTACTGGAGGGTCTGGAGCTGCTGAGGGTGCTGGAGCTGGAGGTTCTGGAGCTACTGGAGGTGCTGGCGCTGGTGACGCTGGTGCTGGAGGTTCTGGAGCTGCTGAGGGTGCTGGCGCTGCGGGTTCAGAGTCTGCTGTTGCGCGGCTTCCTTGGAGTAGACGCCTTCGTCCGCGTGTGCCTCTCACCTCGCAGCAGCTGCACGACTGGTACGGTCGCCGTCAGGGTCGCGCTTCTGGAGCTCGGGGCTCTGCCGCTGGAGGTACTTCTGCTGTCGTCACTGGAGCTGGGAGTGGTGCTGGTCCCGGAGGTGCTCGTACTGGAGGTACTGGAGCTGCTGGGGCTGGAGGTGCTGAGTCTGAGGGTGCTCCTGCAGGAGGTACTGAGGCTGGAGACCCTGGGACTGGAGTTGCCAGTTCTGGGGGTGCTGCTGTTGGTGGAGCTGGTCCTGGAGGAGCTGGCGCTGAGGTTTCTGGAGCTGTTGGAGGTGTTGGCGCCTGTGGCCCTGGAGCTGGAGGTTCTGGAGCTGCTGAGGGAGCTGGCACTAGAGGTTCTGTAGCTGCTGGAGGTACTGGCGCTGGTGGCGCTGGAGCTGGAGGGTCTGGAGCTGCTGAGGGTGCTGGCGCTGGAGCTGCTGGGGGTCCTGGAGCTGCTGGTGCTGGTGTCACTGCACAGCCGCGCCTGTTCTTCGCTCCACCATCTCCGTCGTCTCAGCCACCGCCTGACTCTGTGCTTCGCCAGGTTCTTAGTCTCCCGTCGTCTACTGGTCTTCCGTTGCAGCCTGGTTCACCGCTGCCTGCTCCTTCTCCTTACACTGAGCAGCTAGGGAGTCTTACTGAGCGTCGTGAGCATGCGTCGTGTCCTGTCTCGCCTGTCCGTTCTGGTTGGTTCGGTCGTCGTGTTCCTCGTCCGCGTCTGCCGGCTGTCCCCGACACCCACCTCGTAGTCCGTCGTCTTTCCTCTCCTCCACAGCGTGTTCCTCTGCCGTCCCCTCTTCTCTGCCTGTCGTTGCGGACCCCGAGTTTGACCGGTTTCGTGCTGAGCACCCTACTGTCACGCGTCTGCTAGCCACTGTTGTCACTGACCCGTCGTTTGAGTCTGCTGCTACGTCTGCCTTAGTTGCTGAGCTTGTTGACTTTGCTGCTGCCTGTCGTCTAGACTACGCCGCTAGTCTTGTTGCTGAGTCTGAGTCTGTCTGTCCTCCGTCCGTCGGGGGTGAGTGTGCTCTTGGCACGGACGTCCTTGAGGACAGGCAGGAGGACCTTGAGTGTCTTGCAGCCGCTGCGCCTCATCTCGTGTCCATGCTGCTTGCCCCTGAGGGAGACCCGGATGCTCCAGACATCCCGACCCCGCGATCTTACGCTGAGGTGATCGCGGGTGAGTACTCCTCTCAGTGGCAGACAGCCATGGACGCAGAGATGGCATCCTGGAAGTCCACAGGCACCTACGTCGACGAGGTTCCCCCACCTGGGGCGAACATCGTCAGTGGCATGTGGATTTTCAGGGTGAAGCGGCCGCCAGGTTCTCCGCCTGTCTTCAAGGCTCGTTACGTTGCACGAGGTTTCAGTCAGCGAGAGGGAGTAGACTTCTTCCAGACCTTCTCCCCCACCCCGAAGATGACCACTCTTCGGGTGCTGCTGCACGTTGCCGCTCAGCGTGACTACGAGCTTCACTCTCTTGACTTCAGCACAGCCTTCTTACAGGGCAGCCTGCACGAGGAGATCTGGCTGCGCCGCCCACCTGGCTTCACTGGGTCGTTCCCTCCTGGTACCCAGTGGAGCCTCAGGCGGCCGGTCTACGGTCTCCGCCAGGCTCCACGTGAGTGGCACGACACACTAAGGACGACACTTGCGGCTCTTGGGTTTGCTCCGTCGACTGCTTACCCGTCGCTGTTTCTGCGCACCGACACTTCGCTGCCGCCGTTCTACATCCTCGTGTACGTCGACGACTTGGTCTTTGCCACTGCTGACACTGAGGCTCTCGCCCTGGTGAAGTCGGAGCTGCAGAAGAGACACACGTGCACAGACCTGGGTGAGCTGACAAGCTATCTTGGCTTGCGGATCACCCGGGACAGAGCACGCCGCACCATCACACTGACTCAGTCACACATGGTGCAGCAGGTCCTTCAGCGCTTCGGCTTCACCTGGTCCTCGGCACAGGCCACTCCTCTGGCTACAGGTCACTCGCTCTCAGCTCCACCTTCGGACGAGTCCGTAGAGCCGAGTGGTCCTTACCCAGAGCTAGTTGGCTGCCTCATGTACCTGATGACTTGCACTCGTCCTGACCTCGCGTACCCTCTTGGCCTTCTGGCTCGCTACGTGGCTCCTGGTCGGCACCGAAAGGTGCACATGGATGCTGCTAAGAGGGTACTGCGCTACTTGTGCAGTACATCAGGCATGGGGCTCGTGCTTGGAGGGAGGAGCTCAGTTGTTCTCACTGGGCACTCAGACGCTTCTTGGGTTGACGACCAGACTACTCAGCGGTCGTCACAGGGTTACACCTTCAGCCTTGGCTCTGGCTCAGTTTCTTGGCGTTCTACACGTTCGTCTTCAGTTCTCTGCTCCAATTGTGAGGCTGAGATCTACGCCAGAGCCATGGCTGCGCAGGAGTTACGCTGGCTCACCTACCTGCTGACCGACTTGGGAGAGCGGCCTCGTTCTCCTCCAGTGCTGTACGTCGACAACAAGGCAGCCATTGCCTTGTGTGAGGAGCACAGACTGGAGCACAGAACGAAGCACATCGCTCTGCGTTACTTCCTGGCTCGAGAGTTGCAGCAGCGTGGTCAGCTTCGTCTGCGTTACGTGGCCACTCGGGCCAACACTGCTGATATATTCACCAAGGCACTTCAGTCTGGTGATCATCAGCGTTTCTGCACTTTGCTAGGGCTTGTGCCCACTTTTCCTCACTTGCTGTAGGCTTTGCTTGTACTGTGATCTATATATCTATACCTGCATGCTTGCCTTGCTAGGTAGAGATCACTGTGCTGTTTGTGTTGCATATATGCCTCTGCATGTGAACTAGCCTTGTGGCCCTTTGCTTGTGCTCAGAGTGTGTGATGACGTTGTGATCCACCCTGAGCTTGCTTTGCTTCTCTTGCTCTCCCCCACTTTGCCTATGGGGGTGTGTCAAAGCATATGCTTGTAATACATGTGTAGGCTGTAGTGGGGTAGCCAATATGGGGTACAGCCCCTTTTAGGGTTTCATACTTGTACCCAACTCTGTCATAGTTCATTCATTCCTGCCTATACTTCTGACAAGGGGATTGCTCGTTATAGCATTGTTTTAGCAGCAGGGCCAACTGTGCGACCAGTAGTTGCTTTGCCGTTCTTCGATTGATAGAACTTCAACCTTCTCTCTCCGATTAGAGGTCCTCCTTGGTCGATAAGACACCTTCTAATCATACGCCCCATCCTCATTGTAACTCCCTACGATATTGATTTGCATTGTGGCACTGTTCCTATAATAGATACAAAACACTTTGTTTTTGTACTCTAGGGTTTTGAGAAGTATTTTTATTGCCAATCCAAAAACGAATTTGTGGGGCCAAATAAGGTTATGCCCAGGTTTAAGAATCATATTAGTTTAAATTACGCTGCCAGAATAGTAGTGCCTTTCCTATCTCTTTGGAGGCTTGGAAGAATTCTGCCCGTCTTGTCACGAAGTAAGGTGTTTGTTTTTCACATGGAAATATATATCACCAAAGCGATCCAAACCTGCAGATTATCGTGAAACTCTTTAGGTGAGCAAAACTCTCGTCCATTGCCCATGTCACTCGCACTGGAGCCCATTGATCGTCGCCCGTTAGTAACTAATTTCAATCACGAGTCCGCCGCACTTGCCGCATTCCAATGCTTTCGACCGTCTCTGCTGCGTTCCTTTTCCGCATTGCTGTGTTTCCGTCCCACGGTCGCAAGTTCGTTCGTTGCTTTCCTCGCGCTCGCGGGTATGCAGCATTCGCCATCAGTCACGCAACGCAGCGCCTTTTGTTTGAGTATATGATTCTAGCCAGGCAGCGTAAATTCATTGGTTTGAGCTCCTGAATCCAGTCAGGCTTCGTAGTTCCAATTGTTAATGCCATTTTTTTTTTTTTCTCAAGAGTTAATCCGCGCATTCGCTGGTTAGTCGACAATGGCGGGGAGGTCGTCGCGATCCTCCGCCTTCCCCTCCTCCGCCTCCACCTCTTCCGCCTCACCCGCCTTCCCCACCTCCGCCTCCGCCTCCGCCTCCGATCTCCCCCGCCCCGACTCCGCCCGCGCCGCTGCGCGCGAGGACCCGCGCTTCTCCGCGGTTCCGTCGTGCCCCATGCTCTACGCCGTGATTCTTCCCGCCTCCGACCCGCTTCCCCCGCTGCCCTCCGCCCATGCGCGCGACTCTTCCCTCGCAAGCAGCGCGCGCAACTCGCGCGGCGCAGCTGGGGTTGGCGGGGCGGCGCCTGGGCGGAGGGGAGCGCACGCGCGGGCGAAATCGTGGGACGTAAGGGCGGGCGCGGAAGGCGAGGGGGAGGGGGGAAGAGCGGCGGACGCGGGGGGAGGAGCTGCAGCTCCGCGGTTAGTGCCCGCCATGATGACGTCACTGTCGCTCACTGTGGAGTGCCTGATGACGACAGCAAGTGTCAGCATACAGGGCACGTGGGAAGTGGGGGAGTATAGGGGGGTGCGCGGCCAAGGGGGCGGAGGGGCAGGCGGAGAGGATGGGGGAGGGAATGGTGGGGGGGATGGTGGGGGGAAAGGGGAGGAGCAGCAGCGGCAGCAGTGCTGCGACTGCCTCTTTGTGCTGCCCACGTCTCACAGGGTAGGGGCGTTGCGAGAGTGTGTGTTGCCAAGCATGAGTGAGTGTGAGGGGCAGGGGCGTGAGTGAGAGGGTGTGGTGCTGCTGAGCACTCATCGTTCCTCCACTCACTGAAACCTCAGTAAAGCTCACCTGCTCTCTCTCCTCCCCACCATTGCCTTCATCCCTTCACCCCACCACTATCCCCTTCCGTCTCCCTCTATCCATTCCCACACGACTCCATTCCGCTATCCCCTTTTCAAGTCAATTACTCATGCCCTTCCTCCTCGGCCCTTACCGCTCCTTGCTCCCACGTCCACTCTCCCGTTTCACCACTCTCATTCCCCCAAGGTTCCCATGCCCATCCTTTCCCCGTTGGCCCATCCGATCCTCATTCCCCTTAAACTCCCCAGGCCTCTGTGACAGCAGTCGAGGTAACCCTAGCAGATGGAAGGTTCCTCGCAACTGCAGTGCTCCCAGTGGACGAGGCAGAGGCAGCATGCAAGGCGAGCCACGAGCGGGCGGCAGCCGCCCACTCCGCCGCCCAGCCCGTGCCGCCCAGGCCGGCCCGCTCCTCGTTCCTGCGGCTCTCGTCTGCTAGCTTCAGCAGGAGCGGCAGCAGCAGGCATCGGTGGAAAAGCCAAGAGGGAGTGGGGGAAGGGGATGGGAGGGCTGAAGCGAGAACGGAGGGCGAGTGGGGAGAGATCAGTGGGAAGGAGGGTGGTGTGAGTGGGGGTGTGGAGAGAAGGGAGGGTGGGGGTGATGGTCGTGAGGGTGGTGAGAGTGAGAGGAGAAGGGGAGCAGATGATGATGGTGATGAGGAGGAGGAGGTGGAAGGGAGTGGGGGCCAGCAGTGTGTGGCGAGGCGGCAAGCAGGCGTGCTGCTGGATGAGGGCCCCGTGCACACACCGCACATGCTACGACTCAGAATACCCAAGGTGCACTTTAGGGTCCATGCATGCATCCCTCTTAGCCCCGTTATCTCGTGCCTTTCAGATCACTTCCTCCACACCTGCCGCCCTTTCTCTACCTCCGTTACCCTCTCCCGTTCCTCCTTTCCCATGCCTCCCTCCCATGCTGTTCTCCCCTGCGCCCCTCCTCCACCTCCGTTACCCGCCTGTGCTTCCTCCCCACTCCCCCTTTCACATGCCTCCTGTGATGTTCTTCCCTACCCCTCGTCTGTCTCCCCCTCCTACCCCCCCGCGGGCGACATACATGTTGGCGATGGCGGGGCGGCAGGGGTACAGCGAGATGAGCGTGCCGCTGACAGTGCCCTTGGAGTGCCCCCCCTCCGTCTCTCCCTCCCCTCCTTCCCCACACAGGTACCTCAAGGCACCAGTGTGCGCGTGCGGGCGACATACATAGAGGCCATGACGGGGCGGCAGGGGTACAGCGAGATGAGCGTGCCGCTGACAGTGCCCTTGGAGTGCGTGCCAGATGACATGGCGGTGCAGGACGTGGTGCGAGTGAGCTGCACCATCAATAGTGGTCTGCAGTGCCCCATGAAGATAGGGGACTTTAATCATCCCATGAAGGTGAGTGGGGCACGGCACGGCATGGGGTGTGAGGGCAATCATTCATGGCCAGTGCTTACCAGGAGACATGGCGGTGCAGGATGTGGTGCGAGTGAGCTGCACCATCCACAGCGGGCTGCAGTGCCCCATGAAGATTGGCGACTTTAATCACCCCATGAAGGTGAGTGAGACGCGTGGTTGTGAGTGAGGAGGATTATGTATGGCTAGTGCGTGCGGGGTAGCATGGCGTGCCCTTGGAGTGCGTGTCAGACGACCTGGTGGTGCGAGTGAGCTGTACCATCAACAGTGGTCTGCAGTGCCCCATGAAGATAGGCGACTTCAACCACCCCATGAAGGTGAGTGGGGCACGGCATGGGGTGTGAGGACAACAATCATTCATGGCCAGTGCTTACCAGACGACCTGGCAGTGCAGGACGTGGTGCGAGTGAGCTGCACCATACCATCCACAGCGGGCTGCAGTGCCCCATGAAGATAGGGAACTTCAATTCAACCACCCCATGATGAAGGTGATCATCCATGTCGGCGACTCTTGGACACTTGCACACACTGCCAGCTGGTTAGGACTTAGCAGATACCAGACATGAGTAGCGAGTCAAGCTTTCACTCCAGTCGACAAGAGTCTCATTTGATTCACTATCTGACTCGTCACGAGTCGAGTGGACTCAGTCGATGCATCGCCTGGCTCGACCCATGTTGGGACGAGTGGGTTGGGTCTGACTCTTTCAAGTCGCCCACTTATAACGAGTCTGTTGGCCCGTGTTGAGACCGCAGGCTTGTCGCGCCTGATTCCCCTTCCGGAAGGGGTATTTTTTTATTATTATTATTATTATTTCTCTCCACTTTCTCAATTTAATGCGCCTCGGATGTGCCCCGGACCGCGCTCTCCTAACAAGTTGGCCAAGGCAAATGGAATGGACCGGCTCATGAGCGAGTAGGAAGCAGGAGTGAGGACAGTCTGAGGGTGTCATGCCAACAACTTCCTCATTCCTTGTGCCATGGCTTACCCCCTTCGCCTTCTGCATCCCCCTGTTCCTTCTCCCACCTCTTTCCCTGTCCGCTTGCACTCACCCCTCCCCCCTCATCGCTTCTCCGTGCCCACCCCATATTCCAGCCTAATATAGTTCTATTTTTCGTGGGTTGGGTGTTGCACCAATATTCCAGCCTTATCCAAATGTGATGAATTGAAGACTCCATCTTACCGATTGGAGATTTCAGCGAAATCTCATTGGATATTGCCTTTTGATTCCCCTCCCATCATTCTCATCTCAGTGTGATGGACAAATAGAGCCGTGAGCTCCATGTCCTAATGAATTGAGTTTGCCTCACTTGCTTACACACGCCCCATCCCCCCCCTCCTTTCCCCTCGCCTCTCGCCCCACATGCTCATGCCACGCAGGTGGTGTTTGTGGACTTGGGGCGAGCCACGTTTGTGGGCCATCCAATCGATGAGGACCCTGAGGCATGGCCCAATGCTGACTTCACCATCTCCTTCCAGGTGGGCAGCAATGTGGGCTCCTGTCGGTGTTTTTATGAAGCGCCTCAGAAATAGACGACCAATCGACGACGACTTAGAGGCGTGGCCCAATGCCGACTTCACCATCTCCTTCCAGGTCCGCTCAACTAAACATTCCGTCGTAAAAATAGGTCCTTCCCCATCGGTGTCTGCTTTGCATTGCGTTGCCGCCGTGCATTTTGCTGTCATTGTCTTGGAGCGGGAACGAGGAGTATGTGGAGGACGAGCAGACGCAGGGACGGGGAGTATGTGGAGCAGAGGCGGGGACGAGGATCTGTAAAAACTTGTTTCTTATGGTTTAAGAGTATGTCGCTTTTACAGGAGTGACGTGACGTAGTGTGTTGGTGTTTTAGAAACAAAAAATATGTTGCTGTGAAGTGTAATGGCATGATATATAACGATCGCATGGTGGCAAGATGGCATGGTGGTGGCATGGTGGCATGGTGACATGATGGCATGGTGACATGATGGCATGGTGACATGGTGGCATGGTGACATGATGGCATGGTGACATGGTGGCATGGTGACATGATGGCATGGTGACATGATGGCATGGTGACATGGTGGCATGGTGACATGGTGGCATGGTGACATGATGGCATGGTGACATGATGGCATGGTGACATGGTGGCATGGTGACATGGTGGCATGGTGACATGGTGGCATGGTGACATGATGGCATGGTGACATGATGGCATGGTGACATGATGGCATGGTGACATGACGGCATGGTGACATGACGGCATGGTGACATGACGGCATGGTGACATGACGGCATGGTGACATGACGGCATGGTGACATGACGGCATGGTGACATGACGGCATGGTGACATGACGGCATGGTGACATGACGGCATGGTGACATGACGGCATGGTGACATGGCGGCATGGTGACATGGCGGCATGGTGACATGGTGGCATGGTGACATGGTGGCATGGTGACATGATGGCATGGTGACATGATGGCATGGTGACATGATGGCATGGTGACATGATGGCATGGTGACATGACGGCATGGTGACATGACGGCATGGTGACATGACGGCATGGTGACATGACGGCATGGTGACATGACGGCATGGTGACATGACGGCATGGTGACATGACGGCATGGTGACATGACGGCATGGTGACATGACGGCATGGTGACATGACGGCATGGTGACATGACGGCATGGTGACATGACGGCATGGTGACATGACGGCATGGTGACATGACGGCATGGTGACATGACGGCATGGTGACATGACGGCATGGTGACATGGTGGCATGGTGACATGGTGGCATGGTGACATGGTGGCATGGTGACATGGTGGCATGGTGACATGGTGGCATGGTGACATGGTGGCATGGTGACATGGTGGCATGGTGACATGGTGGCATGGTGACATGGTGGCATGGTGACATGGTGGCATGGTGACATGATGGCATGGTGACATGATGGCATGGTGACATGACGGCATGGTGACATGACGGCATGGTGACATGACGGCATGGTGACATGACGGCATGGTGACATGACGGCATGGTGACATGACGGCATGGTGACATGACGGCATGGTGACATGACGGCATGGTGACATGATGGCATGGTGACATGGTGGCATGGTGACATGATGGCATGGTGACATGGTGGCATGGTGACATGGTGGCATGGTGACATGATGGCATGGTGACATGATGGCATGGTGACATGATGGCATGGTGACATGATGGCATGGTGACATGGTGGCATGGTGACATGGTGGCATGGTGACATGGTGGCATGGTGACATGATGGCATGGTGACATGATGGCATGGTGACATGATGGCATGGTGACATGATGGCATGGTGACATGATGGCATGGTGACATGATGGCATGGTGACATGATGGCATGGTGACATGATGGCATGGTGACATGATGGCATGGTGACATGACGGCATGGTGACATGATGGCATGGTGACATGATGGCATGGTGACATGATGGCATGGTGACATGATGGCATGGTGACATGATGGCATGGTGACATGGTGGCATGGTGACATGATGGCATGGTGACATGATGGCATGGTGACATGGTGGCGTGACGTCACCATGGCATAGTCGCTTGCTCACACGATGACGACAGCATTGCATGATGGCTTGGCCAGCGGCGTGATGGCATGGTGGCATGATGTCATGTCACCATGCCATCTCTTGCCCACATAATGATGGCAGCATTGCATGGTGGCATGATGGCATGGTTGGTTGGTGGCATCTTGTCATAAACCATAATTCTCATTATGGCTTGCTTACAATACATGGTGATGATGACATGAGGTGGTCACGATGGCTTAATGGCATGTCGTCGTGACATCATGTGCTGGCATGGCATGATGGCATGACACCCCCCATGTGTCATCAGGTGGTGACAGAGGACGTGAGTGCAGCAGTGCTCGTGCAAGCGCCTCTCATCGGAGACCCCGATCCCCGTGCCTCCTTCGCCCTTTCAATAGCCCCTCCCGATCCCGCCCAATTCTCGGTATGCCAACTTCTAACTACGCCACCTTCTCAGTGTGCTACATGCTTGTCCGGTCTTGAATCTCCTCTGTATCTGCCCTTGTAACCTCCCCTTTCTCTCCACCTTTCCATGACCTACCAAACTGGTATAGTCAACCCAAAGTACGCCTTTGCATGCCTCCAATGCGCCTGTGTCGCCACTCTCGAACACAACTCTCTTCCTCTCCACCTCGTCACTCCCATTGCCCGTCACACCCCATCAGTTGTTTAGCCGGGAAGTCACACGGCTGCGAGGCCGTATCACCTCTTTCCAGCGCAGCCCTTCCTTTACCAATCATCCCTGCCAACCCCCTTTACCCCCCTCCACCCCCCTCCACCTCTCTCCACCCCTCGACAGGTGTTCAGCCGGGCAGTCGTCTTCATCCTCGACAGCGAATGCGGGTTAAGGGCCCGCCCCATGGAGGATGCACGCAGGGCGGTGGCAGCGGCACTGAGGCGCTTAAAGCCCCATGACTCGTTCGCAGTGGTGGCGTTTGACTTTGAGCTGCTGCTGCTGGACGACGAGCTCGAGGCTGCCTCGCCTCTTCCCATTGCAACCCTCCCTTCCCTTCCCCACCCGTCTCTCCCTCCCCCTTCACCGCTCACCACCCACCTCCACCCCTTTCCACCCTTAGGTCTTCAGCCGGGCAGTGGTGTTCATCCTGGACAGCGAGACAGGGCTGAGAGCCCGACCCATGGAAGACGCACGCAGGGCGGTGGCGGCTGCTTTGAGGCGCTTAAAGCCCCACGACTCGTTCGCAGTGGTGGCGTTTGACTTTGAGCTGCTGCTGCTGGATGATGAACTTGAGGCCGCCTCGCCTGAGGCGGTGCGCCGCGCGTGCAAGTTCGTGCTGCAGGCACATGACTGGCCGCAGCCGACCAATGTGCTCACGCCATTGCAGCTGGTGGGTGGGTGGAAAGCGGTGCGAGTGGGTTGGTAGGGGTGAAATGGGGCGAAGATGAGGAAAAGCTACTTCTAACTCTCATGAATCGCCCTGCGTGGCGTCCCCTCATAGCATCACCACCCACTCCAACATTCAGAATGATGAAGGCCCCCCCAGATGCCTGGTAGGACAGCTATCATCCGCCACCTCATCCCCCACCCCATCTGCATGTGTGCCCCCTGCGCACCGCCAGGCGTTCAGGATGCTGAGGGGCCACACGGCAGTGCTGCAGCAGGTGGTGCTCATAGTCATTCCACCACACCCCATTCCCCCACATCCCATTCCACCACACCCCATTCCACCACACCCCATTCCACCACACCCCACAGGCGTTCAGGATGCTGAGGGGCCACACGGCAGCGCTGCAGCAGGTGGTGCTCATCACAGTCTGCTTCCAGTGGCCTCCAACTCTCCACCCTGCACGTGCACCCCATGCTATGCCACACCACACCCCATTCCACCACACACCCCATTCCACCACACACCACCAGGCGTTCAGGATGCTGAGGGGCCACACGGCAGCGCTGCAGCAGATTGTGCTCATCACGGACGGCCCTGTGCGGGCGGAGCGCCGCGTGTGCCACTGGGTGCAGCGCGCCCTGGCTGACTGGGGGGGCACCGCCCCTCGCATCTCCACCTTTGGCATCGGTACGAGTATCGAATCGGTATGGGTATTGAATTGGCTGTATGAGCATAAAGCGACTTTAGAGTCGACTCAAAAGTCACCTCGACTGGGGGGGCACCGCCCCTCGCATCTCCACCTTCGGCATCGGTACGAGTATTACATCGATTTCACTCGTACTCAGTGTACGTAGCGCAGTAAGAGGCTAAGGGGCTAGATGCTTTGATTCGGTCACCAGCAGCCAAGGCAGGGATGGGGGATGTATTACAGTGATGATGATGACGGGAGAGTCACCTGCTGAGCCAGCATCTCCCCACGTGGACGAGTGGAGCTTGTCTGAAGCTGGCTCACCTGCCTGCTCTATTCGACCGTGTGCCCTTACCTGCGCTCCATCCATCCCATTCCCCCCATCCCACTGTCCCCCTATTCCCTCCATCTTACACTCATCCCACTCCCATCATCCTATTGCCCCCACCAATTCCCCCCATGCCATGCCCCCATCATCAGGCCCATCGGTGAATCCGTTCTTTCTCAAATGGCTTGCAGCTGCCACCCGCAGCTCGTCACAGGTCACCCGCAATCCAGGTACCACCCGGTTCGGTTCTGCCATTCTTATCTTCTGTCACACGTACTCACCTTCTCAACTTGTCTCGTTCGTCTGGCTGCAGCAGGGCAGCCAGTGCCTTAAGTTGTAACCTCTTTGCCACGCTGCCACCTTCGTCCACCCGTCTTTTCTGCCCCGCTCCTCATCCTTTCCTCCCAACAACCTCACTATGCGTGTGCTTCCCCTTAACCCATATCCAATCCCACCATACCCATCCTCACCACCCCACCCCCCATCCCCACCCTCCATCCTCCATCCTCCACCCCAACCCCCACCTCCCACCAGCGGAGGTGCGGCGGCGGCTGGATGGAATGCTGCAGACAATAGCTCGCCCACTCGTCACTAACATTGCCATCCGCGACCTGCCGCCCGCCTGTGAGGTGAGGTGAGGTGAGGCTAGGAGTGAGGTGAGGAAAAGGGTGCGGTGAGGGGGGTATAGCATGGCAGATGGTGCGGACCAGTTAAGGCCATGGCTCGCCCGCTCGTCACCAACATTGCCATCCGCGACCTGCCGCCCGCCTGTGAGGTGAGGCCAAAGGCAAGGTGGGGCGAGGAGCGAGGTGGGTGCTGAGATAGCAACGTGCTGGGAATAATTCTTGAGACGTCTCAGAATTCGTCTCACACGTGCGTTCCAGAGAGTGTAGTGTAGTTTGGGTGAACCCTCGTGGGCCGAGTCGGGTGTTACACATAATATCCCCCAACCCCGTTCCTCAACTTTCCACCCCGCCAGTTGGCCCAAGCGACCTCATTTGAGGTTGCCCTTAATTCCCTGCCCGATCACTCCTACCCATTCTTGGTGTAATTCAGAGCCTTCGAGTTCCGTTTCTTAATCGGTACGTTCAGTCTATTATTCCGCCAGCCATCGGCTGCTCTCGCGTGGTTCCACCCGACTCACCCCCACGTGACCCCCCTGTGCCACACACCACACCCATCCCCTGTCCACCCCCACCAGCTCTACCCCTACCCCATCCCGGACCTCTATGCATCGGGGCCAGTCGTGGTGAGCGGGAAAATGGGCGACCAAGTCACCTCTAAGTCCACTCAAAAACGCCTCCCTCCTACCTCATCGATCCCCTGCCCACCCCCATCAGCTCTACCCTTACCCCATCCCGGACCTCTATGCATCGGGGCCAGTCGTGGTGAGCGGGAAAATGGGCGACCAAGTCACCTCTAAGTCCACTCAAAAACGCCTCCCTCCTACCTCATCGATCCCCTGCCCACCCCCATCAGCTCTACCCTTACCCCATCCCGGACCTCTATGCATCGGGGCCAGTCGTGGTGAGCGGTCGAATGGGCGACGAGGGGCCAGCAGCAGGCGGGGCGGAGGGCGGAGGGGGGTTGCCTTTGCACGTGGAGCTGAGGGGCGTGCTGGCCAGTGGGGCTCCGTGGAAGTTCAGAGCCGCCCTCTCTGACGCCGGCAACCTACCTCTCTCCTCCGTACGCCCTCGCCCTCTCCTCGCTCTTCTCCTCCCTCTACCCTTGCCCTCTTCTATCGATGTTCCGTCTTCATCCAGTTGTCGAGTCTTCACTCCTGCAACTTTCATCTGTCTCCATCCACTCCCAACTTCTCCCCGCCCTCCACCCCCCCCCACCGTTCTCACCCTCCTCACGCCTCTGCACCCCTCTGCACCACTGTATGGTGGGCACATGGCATCAGGTGGGGGCGGGCGAGCGGGTGGCCATCCTCACTGCCGATGCATGGCTGCATGGCGACCCACAGCTGCAGCAGGCGGTACGTGACATGCATGTGCTGTGTGGTGTTGTGCGGTGCTGTGTGGTGTTGTGCGATGGCGTATGGTTCTGTGTGTGCCGTGCACATGGCACCAGCCAGGTGGGGACATGTGAGCAGGTGGCCATCCTCACTGCCGATGCATGGCTGCATGGCGACCCACAGCTGCAGCAGGCGGTACGTGTCCTGCTTGTATTGTGTGGTGCTGTGCGGTGCTGGGTGCTTATGTGTGGTGCAGTGTGACACTGCTTGGTGCTGTCTGCGTTGTCCTTGTGCGAGGCAGTTACGATGCGCAAGGATGTGGGAAGTGTTCCATTTTCCAGCATTTTGCGGCCGAGTCTCTCTCATTCCTGTTCGCCAACTTCAGCAATTCCCCTTGTTGTGTAACCATGCCCATTCCCATTCCCATGGCCATGCCCATGCCCATGGCCATGCCCATGCCCATGCCCATGCCCATGCCCATGCCCATGCCCATGCCCATGCCCATGCCCATGCCCATTCCCATGCCCATGCCCATGCCCATGCCCATGCCCATGCCCATTCCCATGCCCATGCCCATGGCCATGGCCATGCCCATGCCCATGCCCATGCCCATGCCCATGCCCATGCCCATGCCCATGCCCATGCCCATGGCCATGGCCATGCCCATGCCCATGCCCATGCCCATGCCCATGCCCATGCCCATGCCCATGCCCATGCCCATGGCCATGCCCATGCCCATGCCCATGCCCATGCCCATGCCCATGCCCATGCCCATGCCCATGGCCATGCCCATGCCATGCCCATGCCCATGCCCATGCCCATGCCCATGCCCATGCCCATGCCCATGCCCATGCCCATGCCCATGCCCATGCCCATGCCCATGCCCATGCCCATGCCCATGCCCATGCCCATGCCCATGCCCATGCCCATGCCCATGCCCATGCCCATGCCCATGCCCATGCCCATGCCCATGCCCATGCCCATGCCCATGCCCATGCCCATGCCCATGCCCATGCCCATGCCCATGCCCATGCCCATGCCCATGCCCATGCCCATGCCCATGCCCATGCCCATGCCCATGCCCATGCCCATGCCCATGCCCATGCCCATGCCCATGCCCATGCCCATGCCCATGCCCATGCCCATGCCCATGCCCATGCCCATGCCCATGCCCATGCCCATGCCCATGCCCATGCCCATGCCCATGCCCATGAATGTCTTCCTTGTTCTTCTGCATGTAATTTCACACCCACAGGCATGCGCCATGAGTGTGGGGGCGTCAGTGGTATCAGAGCACACGCGCATGCTGCTGCTCGACACCTCCCGGTCTCTGCTGGACCAGCTGCACACCGATCAGCTGCAGGTGCGGTGCAGAAGGGTGCTAAGGGGTGCTGCTGGGTGGGTGTTGCTGCTGAGGCTGGTGCTGGAGGGTGGGGGCTGACTTGTGTGGGAAGAGGAGGGGATGATGTATGGGCAGGCATGACGTGTGCAGGCAATGCTGCACGCAGCATGCTCGGCACACCAATTTTCAGCAGTTGTGCAGTGGCACACCATGTAACTGCAGCACGGTGAAGCAGCTGTGCTGGTGAAACAGCCAAGGCCAGTCTCACCCCACCCAAAGCCACTCTCAGCCCAGCATGTATGATCCTTGAACTCTCCTCATATGTCTTCTGCTGCATATGCCCCATTGCTCCCCCCTGATCTGACACCTCCTCAGGGCCATGTGAAGCCTCTACACCATTACGTACGGTCGCCCACCGCTCCTGTCACCATGGTTCCGGGCCTCACGTCTGGGTTCGGAAGCACCCAGGCCCGGCCTGCTTCCACCAAACCAAACGGGGAGGTTCGTGGCCAGCAGCGGCAGCACAGGCGCATGGGTTCGTGTGTGTCGTCAGGCGAGTGGGAGTATGATGAGGGTGAGGAGGACGGCCATAACCGACTGCTTGTCTCGCCCTCGCTGTCGCAAAGCATTCTAGGAAGCGTACTCGCTTGTTACCGTCCCAAATTCTATTAGTCTGTGAAGTATTCGCTGAAAGAATGAGGCTGGTGGGTTTAATTATCCTGAAGATAGTGCTGCAACATCTGATCCAGTTGCTTGGCAATTACATAACAGAAAGCCTTTTCTTTTCGTGCCTTCATGACCTCTTACGCAGCATTATAAGAGAGTAAGAATTAAGAACCGAACATGCGTGCAAATTGTACACCTGAAAACATGTATACTTTACTTCAAATAATGCTCAGTTACAGGTTGAGTGGTCAAGGCACTGAAGCATATTTACAACTTGCAACACAAAGCCCGCTGAAGATCTGCCTTGATGCCCAGTTGACCTCCAGTCACCCCAGTTCAGAGGTTGAACCAGCAGCACGACTGACTGTCAACTGAGGACCAAGCAATGCTCAGGTAACGTGAAGGATTAGACCTTGGTGTAGGTGGGAATCAGGACTTTATCCACGCCGTGGGCAATGAAGTACGGTCCAGCGTACAGCCTCACGATCTGGATCGTCGTCCACGCGGCAGGGGGGGCGTTGGGAGTCTTGGCGAAGGAAACGGTGTTACCATTCTGCACCGAAACCTTGTACATCGCCTGCTTCAGCTGCGTTCCCAGCGGCTGCGATTTCTTGAGCGCCTTGAGCGCGGGAACGGTGTACTTCTTGCGGATTATGTGGTACGCGGTAATGTTGTAGATTTTAGGAATGTTGGCGTTGTTAGCGGGGACCTTCTTGGCGAGGGCCTGGGCCTCCGTGTCGCTGGGGAGTAGGAGGGTCGCGTCGCTGAGAGCCGTGAAATCGTACTTGGAATTCACTGGTGATGGAAAGAGAGGAAGAGGGAAGACGGAAAAAAACGGTCAGCATATGAGCGCGAGGAGTGAATAGAGGAGCGTGTTAGCCGCTAGTAAGAGGGTATCCTGCCGCATTCAATGCGTTATTGACGACTACAAATGAGGGACTTTCTGCTGGCGTTTTGAACGAGAAGGAAGCGAGTTTACTAGCCGTGGTAATAAGAAAATAATGTAATTTCAAAGTCCTTACGTGCTAGGCCGATGTACTTGTTGATGTCCTTGGCGTATTTCGCGTATTTGGGAAACTTCTGGGTGATGGTGTTCGCCATGTTCTGCAGCTCGGCTTTGATTTGCGCCTTGGTGGGCTTCGCCTGTGCGTGCGCGGTGGCGAAGCATAGCACAATGCAGAGCAGGCCGAAGAGAGGAATGAACCGTGAACTGGCCATTTTCGCGAATATGTGCACGATGTTCGCAAATAAATTGTTTTGTCGCGTAGCTGTGGAAAGCGATGCTGGAGAAACTCTAGAGTCGAAAGTGATTGAAAGTTGGATGAAAGCGAGAGTCAAGTCGAGGAGGCACGAATAAATTCGACAAAGGTTTGGAGGCACGAATCGTCGTTTATATCTGACTTGGGGGCTGGAAGCGCGTCAACATTGCCGACATGCGGCGCGGGAAGCGGTGAAATGGTTTCGTGACGAAAACTTCCGTAACTTGTAATTCGGTCGCAACTCGCGACAGGAAGATGTCGCGAAGCCACGAGGCTTCGCTGCGCTGGGTATGTTTGAGGTGGTGGCGGCAATTGGTCGGTCGAAGTCGCGGTCCGCGTTGGGAAAAGGCAATTCAATGACATTCTTCCTTCCGTCCCATCCCGAATTCAAGGTGTTTCTCCATTTGCGCTTATAACCATGCAGCATTGCTTGATGCATCCTAAAAAACTCATACAGTCAATGTAGTATATGTATCTACACGCAAAGATCCATGCTATGTAACTGCACATCAAGTCACCCGGATTCAGCGCAGGTGCACACCAAAAGAATACCGAATTCCCCCGGATCTAGCGCAGGTGCACCTGTATTGATTAGGACAAAATCATGGGTGTGTGCATGTGATGACTTGCCCCTCAAACTGAGAAAGATTACCCAACGTATCTACCACTGTATTACCTCCAAACCCTCCTCCCCTCCTCTCCACACCTCCCCCAAGTGCCTGTGTGAGCTTTGAAACGTCTCAAACCTGGAGTGCTACCAACCTCTGCCTCCTCTCCCTCCTCTCTCACCCCCTCTGCCCCCGTACCTGCCACTGCTACTCCCTCCAAACCCTCCGCCCCTCCTCCCCCGTCTGCCCCGCCCGCCCCTGCCCCCTTCGTAGCTCCCCTCGGGCTCTGCAGCCGGCTGGAAGCTGAACAGTGATTGGCGCAGCTGCTCCGATGCTGACGTGGCAGTGGGAGGTGTGTGGTGTGCGGGTGGAGGCGTGTGGGTTGTGTGTGCCTGGGGAGGGCGAGGAGGTGGGGGTTGTCAGTGGGAGATGGAGGGTTGACAATAAGAGATAGAGCGGCGACAATGAGAGATAGAGGGGTGACAATGAGAGATAGAGGGGTGACAATGAGAGATAGAGGGGTGACAGCAGGAGATGGAAGGGTGACGGTCGGAGATGGAGGGGTGAGAAAAGATGGCAAGAATGCAACCAGCGGATATGAGAGTTGGGAGCAGCAATAAACGAGCAAGTGGGTATGGAGCGGCCACAGGGAAAGGGACAAGGAAGAGCAGAGCAAAGGGTGTGCAACTTACAAACCCCCCCATGTCCTCCATATCCAACTCCGCCTGCAGCTTCCTCGCAAGTTCCTCATCTGACATCACTTGTGCTGCACTGCTTGCATCTACCCTCCCTCCACTCCCTCCCATCCCTCCTGTTCCGCCCGTTCCTCCCGTCATCCCCCCCACCCCTCTTCCCCCTCCTTGCCTCCCAATGGCCTTCCTCGCCTCATATTCCTCTAGTGTCATCGTCCCCTCATCTTCCTCCTCCTCCCACCCCCTCCTCCCCCTCCCCCTTCCCCCCCTTCCCCCCCGCCTGCCCCTGCCTCGCCCCGGCTCCTCCCCCATCTTCTCCAGAAGCTTCCTGGAAGCGCTCCTATCGTGTGGGGCAGCGTGTTTAAGAGCAGCAGCAGCCTCAACTCTCGCCCGCTCCACCGCCCTCTCCCTCGCTGCCTCTGCTGCTGCCCCTGCCTCCCCCGCCTCTGCCGACCCTTCCCCCCCTTCTCTCGCTACACTACCTGCTGCACCCGCTACTGCCGCTGCTGCAGGGGCAGAGCCGGCAGCACTGGCCTCACCACCACGCCCTCCTGCCGGCCCGCCACCCGCTGCTCCAGACACATGTGTGCCGGCAGGTGTGCTAGTAGCAGTCGTGACAGCTGGCGCTGCTTGCAGGCGCGTGTCCGTGACCCCGCGGAACGGCGGCGGGCCGGCAGAGGCACCGGGAAGAGAGGAGGAGGCGAGCAAGGAGGACGCGGCGGGGGACGAACGGGCGGAGCGGGCGGAGTGGGCGGAGGAGGAGGCGGCGGAGGGGGTGAGGGCGGGGAGGAGGGAGTAGCGGCGTTGCATGTCCCACTCGTCGTAGAGGGGGGAGACACGGCCGCCCAGCACTTGCACGGTCTGAGGGTCCAGCAGCATGAAGCCGTGGCGGATGGTGGGGGCCGTGAGGAGCAGCTGCGGGGAGGGAGGAATTCGGGGGAGCAGGGAGGCAGGGAGGGTTTGGAGACCCTCGGGGTGGGTACAAAAAAAACTGTCCAAGGAAAGGTGAATGTGGGAGCAAAGGTGTCCCAACTAAGTACCTTGGTGCCAGGAGCAAGAGCAGCCGGCACGTGAGGGCACGGGTGCATCTCCACAGCACTCGCATTCCTCTTGCCGTCCGTCACCCGAATGCGCAGCAGCCTTCGCCCCCCACTGCCACCCACAGCACCTCGCCCTCCCAGCCCATCCACACCAACGGCGGAAGCAGTAGCAGGACAGGGAGCAGGGGGGCCGGGTTGCCTGTCTTCGTCGTCCCAGCGGTCGTCCTCGTCAGCAGCAGCGGCAGCTGACTCAGCATCCTCACCTCCCCTGGGCTCGCACACATTTACGGCTGAAACCACCTGGCGGGGCGCAAGGAGGACACGTGGAGCGAGAGGGGAGCGAGGGAGCAAGAGGAGCGCGGGAACGAAGGAAGCAAGGTGAGGGCGGGGGGCAAGGAGGGGCGAGGGGCAAGGGGAGTACGAGGAGAGGGGTGCGGAAGGCAAGGGCTGCAGACTCACCTGCACGACGAGCTTCCCAGACAGGCGGCGGTACTCGGCGCGGTTCACATCGTCCGGCAAGCACGCCTCGCCGAACCGCCGCAGGTCCAGGTCTAGCGCCGCCGCCCGCACCTGCTGCGCCGACATCGGCGCGCTCTGCCGCGCGCCAACTGGCTGCCCCGCCGAGGACGCGGAAGCGGCGGAGGCGGCGGAGGCGTGCGGATCCGGTGCGCCGCCGTCCGCGGAGGGGGGTTTTGCGGAGAGCAGCGCGAGCAGCGCGTGCGGGGAGACGTGCCAGCCTTCGCTCTCCAGGGCGGCCAGCGCTGCGGGCGACACCAGCGGTGCCGCCATGCTGCCGGGAAGTGCGCGCGCCGCGCGTGACGATTAACTGCTTGGCGCGGTCGAGCAGCGCTAGGTTTAGTGTCCCGCGGGCCCCGCGCAAAGTATAGGGTCGCGGTGGTTCACATTCGTCACGCCCTACTGACGTTCCGGAGGAGCAACGATCGTGGAATAATAACGCGTGATTACTATTCTAGCTGCACGAGCGATGTGGCTTCGACATGGGCATCGGTGAACAACTTTTGACGTGTTGCAATCCAGCTCGATTGGATTGGATCGGGTCAGCCTTCAGAACCCATTGCACCCAATGGGGTTGGTTTGGGTCGCGTGAATCCATAAACTTGAGCTGCAACACGTAGTTGGAGGGTGGATGGCTGGTTGTGTGGATCTTTAAAACGTACTATAACTAGGCTGTTTATGCTGGAAACCTACAGAACCGACGATAACGCTGTCTTATGCCAACCTGATGCCAAGAGGTTCTTAGGACGGATGATTGAGCAGTTTTACGGGGGATGTGTTTGTTGGGTTTGGAAGTCAGGGCAGGTCAGGGGTTGATGCGATCGAAATTTCGTAAAGCACAACGAGAGTTCCTGCTTCCCCAAATGAGTTTCGTTCAATGGTTTCTTTCGGGTAACCAGGAAACCTTACAGGGGAGTCATCGTGGGTCGCAAACAAACGGCTCGAAGTGAACACGTCCTTTGCGGAGCAGCCTCAACATCCCCCACTGTTGATGTGATTTCATCAACGTAAAGCTTCTACGATTTTAGTGTGGATACAGCGGAAGTTCGTGGAGCGGGGCGTAGGGTTACTTCCGCAATGGTAAGACATTTCGGGACTCTAACGCGGCAGGTTCCAATCCAAGCCTCTCGACTGCCTTTCTCGGTCCCCTCCCGTTACTGCCGTCCCGCTTTCCGTAATCTCGGTTTCTTCACGCCCATCCTCCACTTGCCGCTTACGATTTCCCCCGTTTCGAGCCGACTTAATACCCGCTTTCCCCCGCTACCTGGCGTCACGCTCTTCCTAACCATAGCTGTCGCTGTCGCGCTCTCGTCTCCCGCTCCCATTCCTCCTTGTAGCTTCACCCCTCTTCTCCCGCTTCCAATCCCCTCTCCTGCCCTACCCCTTGTCGCTCGCTCTCATCCCCCTCTGACTCCTCACCCTTCGTCTCCCATTCCGAAATCCCCCATGTAACTTCACCCCGTCATTTCCGGCCTTATGGCCTTCCCTTTCCCCTACTCTCCTCCACCTCTCCCCCGCCTTTCGCCCGCTTTCCTCATTCCCCCCGCCTCTCTCCCCCCCGCCTCTCTCCCCCCCGCCTCTCTCCCCCCCGCCTCTCTCCCCCCCGCCTCTCTCCCCCCCAGCCCTCATCCTTCAACAACGCCCAACCGGAACAAGACAGGCGGGCGCTCACCTTTTCCCCACCATTCCCCCAATCGCCCTTCCCCCACCTCCCCCCCCCAGTCCTCGTCATTCAACAGGTCGCCAGGCCAATCCGTGCACAACCGGGGTAAGACAGCCGGGTCAGGCGGAGCAAGCCGAGGGGTTGCTGCTGCTGCTGCTGGTGGTGGTGGTGCTGGTGGTGGTGCTTCAGAAGCATGGTTGCCCGAGAGTGCATTCCCCAGTGCTGCCCCGACCGCTTCTCCCTCGAGTGCTGGAGCTCCCATGGGTGCTGCGACTGCTGATGGCAATGGGTGCTCTGGTATTGGCAGCGGTGCAGGGGTGGGGTTAGGAGATACGAGAGGCGGAGGGGGGGATGGAGCAGTGGGATGGGGGGGAAGAGGCGAGGTGACAGACGTAGGGTTGAGCTTGAGAGGGGAAGATTCGGCGCCGCTGCTGCCCAAGCGGCTGCACTTTGAACAACTGGCAGCCCCAGCCCCGGGCTTGGCCTCCTTCCCTGTGCCGGTTCCTGTCACAGCCGCGAACCAGGTCCCTTTGCAACATCCCCACGGCGCAGCGCATCAACAGCAAGTACCGTACCAGCAAGAGCTTCAGCAGCAGCAGCAGCAGCATCAGCAGCAGCAGCAGCAGCAGCAGCAGCAGGCATCACAGCAGAGGCAGCAGCAGCAGGCAGGGCAGCAGCAGCGTTCAGAGTATCGGGACGTGGAGAGCACGGATGGGGCGAGCTACGATGTGCTGTGTTGGGCGTGCGGCCTCTGCCTCTCCCTCCCCTCCTTCTCCCCCAACTTCAAATGCGGCTACTGCGGAGCCCTCACGCTGCACCTCCACTCCTCACCCTCCCCCTCCGCTTCCTCCTCCTCCGCTGCTGCTCCTTCATCCTCCTCCTCCCCTGCATCAAAGGCTGCTACGGAGTCGGATAAGCCGTTGGGGAGGAGGAGGTGCAGGGCGTGTATCGCAGCGTGGGATATGCTGGTGCTGACGGTGGTGATTCTCCTCATCACGTTCATTATTGGTGAGCACAAAAAGGTGTGGGTGGGTGCTGTTGACTTTTTAATCTTGTTCGTTTCACATCTCCACCACTGTTTCCATCGCCTCTCCTATTTACTCTCTGTCAAATGCATTGTCCCACTCCCTGTCAGCTCCTCCCACTCCCCGTCAGCTCCTCCGACTCCCCGTCAGCTCCTCCCACTCCCTGCCTTTGCACTAGCTCGCATTCTCACCCCCTGCCTCCCCATCGTCACTCCCCTCCACCCGCTGACAGCTGTAACTTCTCCCCACCCCCCGTCATCCCTTCCAATCTGCTCCTTTCCCCTCTTCCTCTCTCCTTCCATCCCTGCCCTTCCGTCACCACTACCCTGCCCTTCTCCTCCCCTCCCTCCCGTCTCCATTTGGTGGCATCCTCACCACGTTCCTCACCACGTTCCTCACCACGTTCCTCACCACGTTCCTCACCACGTTCCTCACCACGTTCCTCACCACGTTCCTCACCACGTTCCTCACCACGTTCCCCTCTGTTTTTGGTTCGCTTCAAGAACAGACAGATTCCTCATCACCTATCCCATCCACCTTCTATCTTTTGCCTCTTCTCACTCTTCTTCTCTCCCCTCCCTCCCTTCTCCAGTTGGCGGCATCCTCACCACCTTCCCCATCATCTGTCCCCTCCACCCTCCCTTCTCCCACCGCTACCCTCCTCCGCCTCGTCTCCTCCCCGTGCCGCTCCCCTTCCTCCTCCACGCCCTCATCACACTCCTCCTCTCCCTCCAAACCGTCTTCAACTTCCTCTGCTCCGCTCTCCTCCCCGCCGGCCCCGTCACCCGTGTTGCTTTCGGCTCTGCAGACATGCCAACTGTATCGGCAGGTAAGTCTGAACTTTCAATTGAGTCATCACGTATTACTCTCCCGTTTCCTCCTTCCTCTCCTCTGCTCCGCTCCCCTCCCGGTCGGCCCAGTCACTCGTGTGCCCTTCGGCTCCTTAACTGTAACTGGCAACTGTAACGGCTCCTTACCTGCCGATACATGGCAACTGTATCGGCACAGCAGGTAAGTCTGAACAAGGGTACCAACCACTAAGGTATGGCTCTCCAGTTATGAGCTCTCCAAGTCCTTACTGCCTGTATCATAACAGAAACTGATCCGTGATGCCTTCTTTTGAGCCTTCAATTGTGGATTCACTTCTTTCAAGTGATGTTATGTTCCCATCACGTGTCGCAACATCGCACATCTCAAATCATACATCACATCACACCTACCACAATGCACATCCCACATCACAAATCCCACATCAAATGCCCTACTTTCCCTTGCATTTCCTTTCCCACACCACCCATGCCTCTCTTTCACATGCTTTACCCTTTCCCATGTCTTCCCACACCCATGGGTGGATGGGTGGGTTCCCCCTTGCCTCTCAGGTTCGTTTGACAGCTGGCAGTTGTGTCGCCGCTGCGACCCGCCCCGAGCCAAGCCCCCCGGTCCTCACCCTCCCTCCAAACCGTTTTTTATTATACATCATTTCTGACATCCCTTGTCTCTCGCCTGGCAGGTTCGTTTGACGGCTGGCAGTTGTGTCGCCGCTGCGACCCGCCCCGAGCCAAGCCCCCCGGTCCTCACCCTCCCTCCAAACCGTTTTTTATTATACATCATTTCTGACATCCCTTGTCTCTCGCCTGGCAGGTTCGTTTGACGGCTGGCAGTTGTGCCGCCGCTGCGACCCGCCCCGAGCCAAGCCCCCTGGTGCCCACCACTGCAGCAGCTGCGGCACGTGCGTTATGGACATGGACCATCACTGCCCCTTCGTGAGTACCCGATTGTTTTTTCTCCTGGGTTCTGTCTTATAAGTCCCTCTACCATCGCTATCTTAACCATTGCAGCAGCTGCGGCACGTGCGTGATGGACATGGACCATCACTGCCCCTTCGTGAGTACTTGCCTTACATGGTAGTTTGTGACTCAAACATCACTGTCAGCATCACCACCAGCTTCCGCATCGGCATCATCATCCGCATCAGCAACACCATCACCATCACCACCACTGCAGCAGTTGTGGCACATGCGTTCTGAGCATGGACCGTCATTGCCCGTTTCTGAGTTCCTGTGTGTGTTTATTCACTCACTCAAACATCGCCTGTGCGTCTCTTCTATCCTTCGCATCTCTCCCTCTCGTCTTCCCCCCCCCCACTCTCCCCTTCCCACCACTCCAGATCGGCAACTGTGTGGGGCGGGCCAATCAGCGCCACTTCCTGCTCTTCCTCCTCTCCACCATCGTCAGTTGCATCTATGTTGCCCTCATGGCCTCAGCCACCCTCTATTTCCTCCTCCCCACACTCGACGTCACGCCTCACATGCCCCACAACCCCCCTCACGACCTCACCTCTTTCGTCTCCACCGCCACAAAAGCTTTTGCCGCTGCCCTTTGGGCTGCCCGAAAACAACTCCCAATCCGGGCGTTTTTCGCCTTTTACCTCTTTATAGTCGCACTCGGTACAGGGATCTCCGTCTCGCTGTTGCTGTACCAGCAGCTGGACTTCATTCTATCCGGAGAAGGGGGTTATGTAGATGCATTAAAGGCAAAGAAAGGAGCCGGAAATAACAAGGTGATGTGGGATGGGCCGAAAAGGGTAGTGCCAGCAAGAGTAGTGGATTCGAGCAGGGGAGGTGGGACTTGTTGGCCTTGTGGGAATGGGGTCTGGTTGAGTTTGTTCAATCGCTCCGGTTCGGAGGTGTCTAGAGCTCTGAAGGGGGTGTTTGGATCTGGCAATCCCTGGTTCTGGTGCTGTCCTCGTTTAAAAGCCCCTAGAGGGTCGCTAGCAGCAAATTACAATGGGGTTAAGTACCTTTGATGTGGCTACTTTGCTTTCCATTGATTAATTTGAGATGGACAGCAAATGATCACTTCACAATCACAAGCGCACATGGTAAGTAGCCCGGGGTGAACAATGCGTTCAGTAAAAAATGTCATGTTTACGATTCTTGTTAGAATTGTATCTTAGGAGAACTTAGGCTTAGGATAGGAGGTAGCATGGTGGGAGTAGCGAGAGAAATTGGAAGGAGATGGTTTCAGGCAATGCATACCAGATATACTAGAAATGGGAAGGGCAAAAGGGTACACCACCACCAGCAATAGTTAACTATTAACTAACTAATACACTAGCAGACTGTAGACAGTTATGATATGGAAGTATAATTCAGCAATTCTGATTAACAGAATGTCAACAAATGAGAACGGGAATTACTCTATGACAGCAAGCACGAGCACAGTTAGGAAACCCTAACATGCAAATGTGTTGTTCCATCTTGGTCATCTTCGGAGTGGCGGAGAACTTCGGGACGAAGTATACACCGTCTCTCTGACAGAAGCCTCTCGCCATGTAACGTGCCTTGAAAACAGGCGGCGATCCAGGTGGCCGCTTCACGTTGAAAATCAACATGACATCGACTACTTTCGGCCCAGGAGGGGGAACTGCGTCGACGCAGGTGCTTGTGGACCTCCAAGATGCCATCTCTGCATCCATGGCTGCTCCACTGAGATGCCCACTCACCTGAGACTGCCTCGGTGTAGGTACAAGGACTCGGGATGTCAAAGCCGCCTGGGTCACCCTCAGGAGCTAGCAGTATGGCACAGAGATGAGGAGCAGCGTGCACAAAGATAACCAGATCAAACTGCTTGTCCTCTAGGACGTCAGTGGCAAAGGCAGGTGCACCCCTGGCGGACTGAGGACGTGCAGATTGAGTGACTAGCCGAGCAAGGCGGTGGCTGGAGGCAAAATCAGTCACAACAGTGACAAGTGTCGAGACAGACGAAGGAGGAGCAGTAGGGTCAGTGACAAGGGAGAAAAGGACACGGGAGACCGTAGGACGAGCGGCACGGAAGATGTAAGAGAACGGAGGAGGGAGGATAGCGAGAGACGACTGAGGAGGGGAGCGGATGAGAGGAGGAGAAACACGAGGGGGAAAAGAGCGGAGGCCCACAGAGTGAAAGCCAGGAACAGGGGATGAGGGATGACCATGAGGGTCACGACGAGTAGTCCAGGAGGAAGCGAGATGAGACGGGCCAGGAAAGAGAGGAGGAGACGGCAGACGAGGAGAACAACAAGCCGGAGACGAGTCCGGGAGAGGCAGTGGGGTGCTGGGAGGATAGCCAGTCCAAGGAAAAGGAAGACCAGTCATCGGAGGTGACGACGGTTGCTAAAGCTGCTGCTGTGGCGGTGGCAGCAGCTGCTGCTACAGACGGTAGAGGTCGTCGAGGCGACGGAAGCAGCGCTCCGCAGGGCCCCACTGCCTCTGAGAGACCCACTGCTGCACCGACTCCCGCTGCTGCTGAGGCAACTGTTGTTGCTGCGGTACTGCCACACCACAGAGTCAGCACCTCCTCCAGCCGCACCACTCGAACCAAGGCCTCCTCCAATATTAGCCCCCCCTAGACACGCCAGCACCTCTACCTCCGCCACAACCACGACCACGACCACCCTTGCACCTAACGGGCTCCGCAACAGAAGTGGACGCCGCAGAGACATGGATCTGGGGAGGGGCACACCCCCCAAAAAAAGGGGGTACCATCTCACTAATAGTCATAGAGATGGTGCGGAGGCGACACTTGATCTTAGTAAGACTAGTCTCAGAAAGTTTGAGAGTAAGCTCAGGGGGTGCATGGCGAGGAAGGCGCCATGCACAGTAGCAAGGCGGTCAGGGAGGAAGTCGTGAGGAGGTGAAGGGTGAGATACATGGGGGAGGGGAATTGTACAAGCTGCTCAGGAGTGCAAGCGTCACGGTAGCGAGCATCAAGTGATCGAAGGTGGGTCATAAGGTCAGCAACAGCGAGGAAAGTAGGCAAGTCAGGAAAGAGAAAAGGCATTATGAGACGGCCTAGGGTAGTAGAGGAAGGAGTAGAGTAAGGAGCAGCGATAGCGTCTAATGTCAAACTGTTATAATGCTTATATTGTGTAGGCTGTAGTGGGGTAGCCCATAAAGGGTACAACCCAATTAGGGTTAGTACTTGTACACAGTTTCTTGTCAATGCATTCATTCTCGTTCAGTTTCTTGACATGGTTTCAGAGCAGGTCCTGTTCCAGGACCGTTTTTTTAGGGCCCACCGCATAGTTCCCTGCCCGTAGCGCTGCCCCACTAGTCGCGCTGCCCTGCCCTGCCCGTCGCGCCGCCCTGCTGGCCGCGCGCTGCCCTGCCCTGCCCGTCGCGCCGCCCTGCTGGTAGCGCGCCGCCCTCCCCTGCCTGTCGCGCTGCCCTGCTAGCTGCGCGCCGCCCTGCCCTGCCCGTCGCGCCGCCCTGCTGGCTGCCGCGCCGCGCTGCCCTGCCCGCGCGTCGCCCTGCTGGCAGCCGCGCCGTCCTGCCCTGCCCGTCGCGCCGCCCTGCTGGCTGCCGCGCCGCCCTGCCCTGCCCGCGCGCCGCCCTGCTGGCCGCCGCGCCGTCCTGCCTGCCCGCACGCCGCCCTGCTGGCCGCCGCGCCGCCCGGCCCTGCCCGCGCGCCGCCCTGCTGGCCGCCACGCTGCTCTGCCCTGCCCGCGCGCCGCCCTGCTGGCCACCGCGCCGCCCTGCCCTGCTCGTGCGCCGCCCTGCTGGCCGCCGCACCGCCCTGCCCTGCCCGCGCGCCGCCCTGCTGGCCGCCGCCCTGCCCTACCAGTTGCGCCGCCCTGCCCTGGCCGCGCGCCGCTCTTCCCTAGCCGTGCGCCGCCTCGCCCTCCCCTGCGCGCTTCCCTAGTGCTTGCGCGCCGCCCTGCCCGTCGCGCCGTCCTTGCCTGCGTGCTGCCCTGCTGGTCGCGCGCCACCTTGCTCTGCCCGCTAGGGCTTCTTTCAGTGTTCTCACCTTCGATCCTAAGGGCCGTCCGATCCAGTTTGAGACCTGGTACCTACAGAGCGAGTCTAGGGACGGCGTCTCCTTGTTTGACCACACGTCTGGGACCTCTCTCGCTCCTCCCGAGACTGCTGACAGAGCGACTCGCTCACAGTGGCTTACCCGTGACGCTAATGCTCGCCTCGTCGTTTGCAACCACCTGCCGTTAGCCGAACGCGCGCATTTTGGCCAGCACAAGACTGCTAAAGCACTGTTTGATGCTGTAGTCGCTCGTTACTCCTCCCTTGCCACTGCTGCTCTCGGCCGTCTTATACTGCCCTACCTCTTTCCCGAGCTGTCAGCCTTTGCCACAGTCGATGACCTCATCACCCACCTTCGCACCAGCGACACTCGCTACCGCGCCGCTCTTCTCACCAAGTTTCTAGACAAGAACCCCCCACCCATGTACATCACTCTCTACTTCATTGTCACCTGCCTCCCTGACTCTCTTCACGCAGTCAGGGACCTCCTTCTCGCCCTTAACCCCACAGACCTCACTGTCGACCTGCTCGAGAAGCACCTCCTTGCAGCTGAGACCAGCATAGTCGCTGTAGGCGCTTCTCGTGGCACTCCTCGCACTCCCTTCTTTGAGGGGTGTTCCCCCTCCCCCCTTGTCCCCTCTGTCGCTTCTGCTGCTGCTGTTGACTTCCTTCGTACTGAGGAGGTCGGGGTTGCGTCTGCTCCTAGTGGGAGGCGCCGCAGCGGCAAGGGCAAGGGAGGCAAGGGTGGTGGGGGTGGCAGCGGTGGAGGCGGTGGTGGAGGCGGTGGAGGCGGTGGAGGTGTCGGCGGTGGCGGTGGGAGTGGTAATGGGAGTGGGGGCGTCGGTGGTGGCGGTGGTGGTAGCAGTGGCTGGCAGTTTTACCACCCCACCTCGCGCCGTGTCCAGCCCTCTCAGGACGTCACGTTTGACGAGTCGGTTCTCTTTTACCGTCTCTTCCCCTACCGCACTGCCCCTCTCCCCCCCCCGCCGCTCTTCCTTGCTCCAGGTCCCCCTCAAGTAGACCGCCTCCCCCCTCAGGGTCCTGCTCCCTCAGGTGTGTCTCAGGTAGACCCACTCCCCTTGGCTGAGCCTGTCGAGGTCACTGTAGACTCTGGTGCTGCTGGGGGTGGTGCTGCTAGGGGTGCTGCGTCTGGGGGTGCTGAGCCTGCGGGTGCGGAGCCTGGGGGTGCTGAGCCTGAGAGTGCGGAGTCCGGGGGTGTTGAGCCTGAGGGTGCGGAGTCTGGGGGTGCTGAGCCTGAGAGTGCGGAGCCTGGGGGTGCTGAGTCTGAGGGTGCGGAGCCTGGGGGTGCTGGGCCAGAGGGTACTGAGTCTGGGGGTGCTGAGCCTAGGGGTACTGCGTCTGCCGGAGGTCCTGCGGGTGCCTCGCCACGGCAGTCTCGCCGGCGGGAGCCTCTCTCACCGCGGCAGCTGTGCGAGTGGTTTGCTCGCCGCACACGCCTTAGGAGTGGCGCTGCTGGAGCTAGAGGCCCTGCCGCTAGAGGCACTGGAGCTGGAGGCGTTGGAGCTACTAGTCCTGGAGGTGCTGGAGTTACTGCTGTTCCTGGAGGCGCTGGAGCTGGAGGTACCAGAAGGTGCTGGAGCTGCTGGTCCTGGAGGTGCTCGTACTAGAGGTACTAGAGCTGCCGGAGATGGTGGTGTTGGAGGCGATGGAGCTGGAGACCTTGGAGCTGGAGACGCTGGAGCTGGAGGAGCTGGAGCTGGCGGCACTGGAGCTGGAGACCCTAGAGCTGGAGGCTCTGGAGCTGGAGGCGCTGGAGCTGGAGGCACTGGAGCTGGAGGCGCTGGAGCTGGAGGCACCGGAGCTGGAGACCCTGGAGCTGGAGGCGCTGGAGCTGGAGGCGCTGGAGCTGGAGGCGCATGAGCTGGAGGCACTGGAGCTGGAGACACTAGAGCTGGAGGTGCTGGCACTGGGGGTGCTGGAGCTGGCGGTACTGGTGCTGGAGGCACTGTGCAGCGGCGACCATTTTTCGTTCCGCTGCCGCCGTCGTCTCTGC